TAGAGCCTCACTCTGTAGCCCATGCTGACTTCATACTCACTTATGTAGCCCAGGATGGCCTTAAACTCACTGCAATTCCCCTGCCTCAGCCTCCCAAGGGACTAAAGGAAGGAACCACCATGCCTACTTCATAGCCTGACATTTTTCTGAAATTTGGGAAAGAGTGAAGCATATACAAATTCTGTTAACTGATGCTGGACAATTAACAAAACAGGGTCAGAAATTACCCTGAACTAAGACCCAAAACAATTTAAAAAGCAAAAAGTCTCCTTAACTGTAGAGTCTGACCTTTACGCCCATGCAATGGTGTGGTTATCCTCATCTGAAATACAGCTTGTTATCTTGGAGGCTCTGAGCTCCGCACAGAGCTATCCAGAAAAGTTTTCTCTAATGGTGAGAACCTTCGCCATAGTCTGCACGGTCCAAAACAGTAGCCAGCGGCCACGTGTGGCTGTTGAGTATCTGTGATGTGGTACGTGCAGCTAAGGACACAAAGAGTTTAGCTTACTTACCTGTGGTTCCTCTATACTCAAACAGACACATGGAGTGGTGCAGCTCTGGGAAGTCTGGTAAACAAGCTCCTGGATTTGGACCTTGCCTACATTCCAGCTCCTACGCTGCTCCTTCCCATCCTCAGAAACAGCTCTCAGCAGGCTGTCCTGTTTTCTCACCCCTCCAAGGCTCTGCCAATGTCAGCCCCCTGCTGAAATGTTCTTCCCTGGCCACACTTCATCAGAGCCTTGTTCCGATTTCATTTCCTAGGAGCAACTGTCTCTACTCTCCCACCCTCAGCCCCACCACGAAATGTTGCCATCACCTCCTTCATGTTCCTCTGGATCTAGTTCCGTGGCGACTCTGTCGTTATGTAGTTGTAATGTATTCTCTGTGTCACTAACATCTATATGAACTTTGAGGGCCAGGTCTTACTCATCTCACAACCTAGCACTGTGTGCCAAGAGATCATATAACACATGTGTTTATTCTAAGTGTTTCCTGATTACAGCATTAAAATTTAAATACGCACAGTGTTCCATTAAAATTATTTTCAAAGCACAACTACTTCATGACCATGAAAACTCCTGGGACCAAAGTCTATTATAAAGCAAATTTTAAAACAATAAAAAGTTCTTTTTCAGTTTAAAGGCTGGGCATGGTGGTGCACGCCTTTGCTCCCAGTACTTTAGAGGCAAAGGAAGGAGGATCTCTGTGAGTTCGAAACTAGCCTGGTCTACATAGTGAGTTCCAGGCCAGTCAGAACTACACAGTGAGACCCTATCTTTAAAATAAGATCAGCTAAAGGTCTGCTTATTTCAAACTTCATCAATGTGGCACTTCAGTACAAACCAAAGAATCCCTGGAACAAGCCTATTTAGAGCTACCTGGATGTCTCTTGGACTTCAAAAATGGGTCTTGTCATTGATCTAGCCCCAGCACCTGTGTTGACTTTTCCAAAAGACCAGGATGAAGTTTAGAAGCAAGGGGACATGATTTAAGACTCCTCGTTGCTTAAGACACATGAGAATTTGGAGTAATTGATGCAATCCAACCTCCAAGAAAAGAATAATTAAAATCTTATCTAACGTGGAAAATAATGACTTTGGATGATGTGTGACTGTTCCATGGCAGATGCTACCCAAAAAGAATCGGGAGTTTCCCTTATTCCTTGGCACAGCTTTTGCACAAGAAATCCTTCTTCAGTGTTTCATATAGCATCTGTTATAATATTAACCTGGACTCATAGTCACAGTTGTTTCTCTTTTTTTTTCTTTATCATCGGAATTTCCCAACTAATATATTATTTGTATTCCCACACAACTAGAATTGGCTCTGGATAGATGCATTTAGAAACCCGATTTTTATGAGGTATTTCCCAAAAACCAAGGCTCTGGTGGATGCGTGCTCCAAATGTGTGTTTTGCCTGCTATCCAGGGACTCCTTGTTCAATAATGAAACAAGAGGCACTGCCAGAGATACACTCTGGTGTGCACAGCCATGGCCTGAGGCATCAGGAAGAATGCAGAAAGCACACAAATCAGAGATACTTCATCTTCATGTCTGGTAGAATTTGACTTCTGCTTTCTTATTCATTTGCTGGTTTTGTTTTCTTTCAAAAGAACAAACAACACTTTCAATGCAATGACTGACTTAACAAGTGACTGAACCCTTTAGGGCAATAGAATCATTAAGATACAACTCATGCCAGGTGGGGGTGGTATACACCTTTAACCCCAGAACCCTGGATAAAGAGGCCACCCTGGTCTACAGAGCAAGTTCTAGCACAGTCAATACAGCCAGAACTATTACACAGAGAAACCCTGTCTCAAAAAAAAAAAAAAAAGACACAACTCACATTTTCCCATAAACATTTTAAATAGACTTTAAACAACCTTTTCTCTGGTTTTCCTTTTCCTTTGCCCAGAATATATCTCACACAATTGTAATAGGATATCTTTCCAAAAAGAGATGAAGATCTAAGTTCTTTTCAGGGCTTCTAATGACTAATATGAGATAAACATCTCTCCTTAAGATATCTTAAATTTAAACATAGCAGTATCAATGTTAACATCCTTCTAAACTCCACCCACCTAGGACAAATGGTGGTTAAACTAGAAATCGCTTTCTATATGTTATTAGAACTGCCTATAAATTCTATGAATAGAAAATGCACTTGTTTACAAAATGTCTATTGCTGCTTGGAAAGGGAAGACCTGGTTTTCGAAGATGATGTTACAAGGTTAAAAAAAAAAAAATGAAGCTGGTGACCCAGGTCTCTCAAGATTTGTACGCCCAGCATGCCATCTATCTCAATAATGCCTAACAAGAATGCCAAAAGGACAGGAACAACTGTGGTGAACAGGTGCTTGCAGCTGACAGTGATTGCTGTGTTTGAGGTGATGGGGAACAGCATTTCCATTAGTTCAAGTGAAATACAATGCCCTGCCAACTCTGGGTATCAGTGTATTCAATCCCCTGCTGTGCGTGTCCACTTTCTGCTGCTGCAATTAAAAAATCAGTCGATACAAAGTCAAATGTTGTTCATTCCTCCCCCCATCCCTTCCCGTTTCCAGCTTCACCGGAAGAAAGTGTCACTATGGTAACCAGTCCCTCTGATGCACAGACCAAGTCAACCTCTCTAGTCAAACTGCCAAGCAGGCAAAATGGAATAGGAGACCTGGATGGAGCCACCAGAAGCCACAAACCCCATTTCCCTCCTCCTCTAAGTAGGGCTGGCTGATACCAGACAGAGGATACCAGTCTGTTCTAAAAGGCTCAAGGAAGGAAATGGAAGGAAGTCCTTCAACAAATCTTGTCAGAGCCCACGAGTCATTATCAGCGGCTCTCCCCAACACTTCAGCTAGCTACCTCTCGTTTCCATGGTAAAGAAAGCAGAGCACAGATAAAATAACATCGTTAACCTGAAAACAGTTATAAAGCGCCCCCCCCCGTGAAAAATAATTCTGCTTCCTCTTGGTTTCCTGCTCCTCGGTCCAGCCCCATAATATCTTTCGCATCCTTCCCGGAGTTCCACCTGGATCAGGCCACACTAACAAGAGCCTTGTCAGGAAGCAGGTGGAGTGCCTGTGAGCACTGCCATGCCCATCCCTAGTCAGCCCCAAGAAGCTACACAACAAATGCCAAGATGGACACTCACTCCTTCTCTTTCCTAACTCTCCTCCTCGCCTGCTAACTGTGAAATGGCCTCCTGGACCATACCCACTACTAATCATTCTTACATGGTTGGTGGTGGTGGTGGTAGTGGTCGTGTGTGTGTGTGTGTGTGTGTGTGTGTGTGTGTGTGTGTGTATTCAAATTAACAATTTCTTTTGAATAACCTCAACATTTTTGCAACTCAAAGTACATCAGTTCTCTCAAATATTGTTTTAAAACATCAATGAACTTCACGGTGATGCGAGAAATTAAGAATTGCTTTATGTCTCTGCACATTTGCAAATATTAACACAGTTGTCAACTACTCAGCAGTTGAAGAGAGTGACAGAGGAGGGGAGAAGCAAGGTCTGAAATCTGCACATCTTCCCAGGGTGCAGCCATCATAGAAAAGAACACGGTCCCCTCCTCAACAAAGCACATGACAGTGAACAGTATTTCAGCGGACTGACGAGACAGGATGGTTCCCAACATATACAGGATTCACAAAATGCATCACGCAAGCAGACTTTCCTATGCATGTGATCATATTCAAATATCAAGTGTTATTAGCAAATGTTTGCTTATGACCTGTCTTCTATGCCTTGAGTGGTTTCTATAAATCTGAAAATAGTATTTTTTTTCCTCCTGGTATGCCCACTCAGGTTGACTTTGGGGGCTTACTAGACTGCTGACATTCACTGCAAACCGACAGTCACTTCTGTCGCCCACCTCTCCAAGGAAGAAGTTAAGTACTGTAATGGAATGCTGCTCACTAGCCACTTTGGGCTACTGTAAAACGGGGCTAGAATTTCTTGGTGTTTATATGGCCAATACCTACACCATGACTTCTACAGTGCATTACTAAGTAAATGTTTCTGGGGTCCATACGGCCTTTTCTGGGAGACACCCCCACCCCCAGTTTCCCTTGCTCGAAGCAGCTCAACATCTAAAACAGAAATTAAAATTCGGAGCCAGTTACCCCTGACACATCACCCTTAAAGGACTTTTTCCAGAAACAGCATTGGAGATTCTCTTCCTTCTCAAAGGCTGATGAGGCATTACTCTGGATTTTAAGAATAAAAATAAAAATGGTTCAGGAGATTCCATGAGAATCTGGATAGACAAGAGCAAAACGGCAGGTGAGCAAAGAGAGTGAAAGCTTTACCACAATCTATTACAGCTATGGAGAGGCAAGTTCTGCCCATGCCAAGACTCAGTCAGGCCGGGATAACTGAGCCACTCAGAACCAGGAGATGCTGTCGCCTGTGGCCAACAGGAGAGGCAAGGGGCTGCAGGGCCTACCTAGAGGCTCCTGGCTCTCTGCAGCGCCACGCCTCGCGCCTGGAGCTTACCTTTCCGGATGAGGGCGGCGATCTCTGGGTCGAAGCCCTGCCGGTGGCACTTCCTCCAGAGGCCCATGTTGGTGGAGTTGTACTGCCGGCTGCACTCGTCCGCCGGGCTCATGGCGAACAGCTGCCGGCGATTCCGGGCCCGGAGGAGTTTGCCCTCCCAGCGGTCCAGGCGCGAGCGGCTCGCGCGCAGAGGCAAGTTGTTGTTGTTGTTGTAAATGAAGCCGGGGTCGACCCGGCGGGTGTTGAAGGCCTTGCACCTGTCCCTGTGCTTCCTGGCGTCCGTCTCGTACCAGTGGTCGGAGCAGATGGCCACAGCCAGCATGCCGAGGGCGCAGAGCGCTAGCGAAAGCCCAGTGTAGAGCAGTAACCTTCCGGCAGCCATGCCTCCGCTTGGCGGCTACACCATGGGCATGATCCGCCGCAGCCTCGCCTTCCCTCTGCACGCCCAGAACAAAGCGGAGGGCGGCCGAGCTGGGGGTGGGGACTGGAGGGGATCTGCGCCGCGGCGACCCCTTGGCCCCCACCTGCGGGTACGGAGCCGGGAGACTGCGGGGATCGGGGCGGGCAGCCTATAAAGTTCTGTTATGGAGAGGCTCCCGCGGGGTCCTGAGCATCCTCCGGGCTGGTGCAGCCTTCTCCGGTGGTGGCGAACTCAACACCGCCACTTCTCACCGTTCAGGAGGCGACAGTCCTAAGCCTCCGCCTCGGCCCGCGGCCCGGCCACCGCAAACTAAATACCAAGTGCTCTCGACCGCGGCGGGATTTGCTGGGTTTCTCTGTGCAGCTTGCTGACCGAAGTGACTGTCCTGGCTTCCTGGGAATGATAGGGAGGGCGTGTGAGGACGCAGCACTCCGCCGAAGGAATGGATTGCGCCCGCGCCCGGCTGCCCTGGATCTCGTTCTCCTGGACTCTCCCCTTTTCGATCTGCAGCCGAAGGCCGGGGACGTGCGTCCGAAACTGTTCTTCCTCTCTGCGTCGGGTCTTTTCAAAGCCTCGGTCCTCTGATCACCAATAGGTCCTTGGCTCCTGCTGTCCCACGCGTGCTCTCAGAGGTGAACTGCCCGAGGACGCACGATCTCGGACAGCCTTTCCCCGCGAGCTCCAGGGTGGCCTGCCTCTGGCCTCGCCATTCAGACTGTCTAGCTTTTGGACAGCGGGGACACCCAGGCGGCGTTAGGCGACTATTCCCAGCCCGGGGTTTGCAGAGACTGGGCGGCAGCTGCCAGGAGCTATGGGCGGGCTGCACAGAGGAGGGCGCACCCCGGGCTCTCCGAGCTCCTTCAACACCATGGACAGGTCGCTCAGGGGTGGCGCGCAGCCGGCCCAGTCGCCAGCCTCCTCGGTGTCATTCTGCTCTTTCCAGCTCCTTCTTCCTGGAATGTGTACGCCCAGCCTCCTCCAAGATCCCCTCTGCCTCACTTCACCTAGTCTCCCGCAGCCCCGCGTGGGAGCTGCCCAGGTGCTAAGCAAATGCCGCGGGCACGAAGAAAACCCAGGACCCGGCTGCTCGAAGCAACCCGCCCCCTTCGCTGCCACCTGAGCCCAAGCAGTCCAGCACCCGCTTGCTCTGGCCAGCTGGGGTCAGTCACTCTCAGACTGCACCATTTTCTTTGCAGCCCACCCAGGCGATGAGGCGCAGGGTCCCTCGGCCTCGTGCAGAGGATTCCCGTCCCGGCCTCGGCGTCCCGCGATCCGGCTCCCCGCACTGTGGTGAATGGGGCGAGGGGTGAGGGGGTAGGGAGCCTCGGTACCTCAGCTTACCCTCCCTATCTCCTCCTCGAGCCACGGAGGCTTTCGGGCCTCTCAGGCTCAGCCGACGCCCGCGAGGAGCGAGAGCCTAGCCTGCGCCCCAGGGGCTCCAGAAATCGCATTGCCCGGGTGTGGGCGCCCTAGGAAGCCGCTGTCACTCTCTCGGCCTCTAGGCGCTGCAGCCTTGGCTAAAACCCACAGCCGAGAACACGGAGCGCGCAGCCAAAAGCTAGTGATGTCATCCGTGCAACGTGAGCCTCATCTCTTATTTTTCTAGCCTTCTTAAAGTTGAACCGCACCAATTTCCCAGGCACGAAATGTCTGAGCCTTATTCTTTGGCCAGGCAAGTGAATGGTGTCTAGGTAGGTATGCACTCCATCACATCCATATTTATGCACATATACATATATGTGGCATGTAGCATGTTTATGTGTATTATTGTAAATTTAGGGTTGGTGCCCACGTCTCCTGTTTCTCTTTAGACCGTGGAAAATTCCCTTAAACTCGCCACAGTTCTTTTTTTTAAAAAAGGTTTAGACAACCGTCTTTAACGAGTTCTGAGTGAACCCCTATGCCCCAGGTTTCGGCTGTTAGTGTCTCCCGTTCATTTAATCTTTGTTTTTCCCCCCAGAAAGCCATAAGCACTACCTTACTAGCTACTGTGATTTCCACCTGGAGCTGAGCAGAGAGCAGCGGTGAGGATCTCGGCCATCCTAAGCCAGCGCCCGACACAACACACACACACACACACACACACACACACACACACACACACACACACACCTGCCCTGACTCTTCAGCAAGAAAAGGAGACCGCAAGGTGCATTTAAGACCAGAAGAGAATCACAATGGGGTGGAGAAGGCTGTTGTAGATATTTTGGAGGAGAGGAAGAGTTAAAGCAACCTCGGTGTAGGGTTTGTCAGTGATCTCATGACCACTGGATTTAACCTCTGCAGGGCCTCTTTGAGGTGGTACCGGACTCCAGACCTTGAAGGGGGGGGGGGGCAGCTAACGGATCCATCCCCACCCTACCCCGCCCCCTGCTTCTCTCACGTGAGACAGCCGCAAAGGCTGGGAGCCTCCCATCCAGCTCCACACACTAGGGATATCATTCTAAAGCTCCCCCTTCGGTTTCACCCTCTCTCCAAAGCCGAGGTCCCCCATTGCGGGATAAAGAGCTGCCCTAGGGACCCAGCTTTGCACAGCAGGGCTTGTGAGTCGAAATGAACGCACCTCCACCATATTCTTTTTGTCTTTAGTTGTTTTTTTTTTTTCCTCTCTGCAGTTTGAAAATCGAGAACAAGGCGTTTCAGTGCCATCTAGTGGGGGAGGGGCGTGCCTCTTTTTTTTTTTTTTTCTCGAGCCTTAAATTCTGTGGTGGGATTTACTTCATGCAGAGACAGTCCTTAGGATGCCCGCTTGGTCTAAAAGTTGCAGGCAAGTGCCCTAGTGCGCATCATCCTCAGAGTTCCCCGGGATGCCCTGGTGGAGCTGGGCAACTTTGGCCACAGTGTCTTCCCACCTTCTCCTCTCATCAGTTTTCCTCCTTATGCCCTTGAAAGAGAGAAGCACTTGGCATACATGCAGACACCTTACATTTCTAAAGCTATTTCTTTCTTAAGGCAGAGCAGAAGTGCTTTTCCACGACTAGGGTTCCCGCAGGACAAACAGGAAGGAAGCTGAACCTACAAACAAGGTCAGTGGGGAGCCAGAACAAAATGAGTTCTATAGCCCAGGTCTCTTGGTTCCCTCTCCAGTCTTCAGCACCAGGTCGGGATCTTTGGCAGCGGGCATGCATAAAAGCACACGTGTTCCTCTAGTCAAACGACCCCAGCCCACCCATAATCCCTTCTTCCTCCACTTTTTAACGTTTTCGCTGGCTTTAGGCCTGCTTTCAAAAGTGAGCTTTGTCCACTCTCCCATGGTCCTCAGGGTTTCAGGCCCAGCCTAGGAAGGGGACCTATGTGGGATACGACCCTCTCCTTTCCTGAACATCACAAACATGCTATCTTGAAGTTGTTGTCCTTGGTGAAAACACAGAAGTCCTACAAAAGGTGCTGATTTGTGTCCTCCTCGTCAGTGCATAGCCGTATGTCATGGAAACAACACTGATGCCTAAGACTAAAAACGTGATGGACGCTTCATCTAGACTTTTTTTTTTTAAGATTAAAGGTGTGCCCCACCACTGCCCGCTTAGATGGCATTGTCTTTTTGTTGTGGTTGTGGTTATCTTTGTGTGTGCATGCTCTGCTGGGAACCAAACTGTTGTACAGTCTAGGCAGGAGCTCTACATTCCCTGTCTTAGACAGTGTCCTGTTGCTGTGAAAGAGACTCCAAGACCAAGCACAACTCAAGTTCATAAGAGAAAGTTAATTGGGACTTGCTTGCAGTTTCAGAGGTTTAAATCATTATCATCATGATGGAAAACGTGGCTGCAGAAGTAGTTAAGAGTTCTACATCCGAATTCACAGGCAGCAGGAAGAGACTGGGACTGGCTTGGGCATTGGAAACCTCAAAGCCCCAGCCCCAGTAACATACTTCCGTGTACTCTGACAAGGTCAAACCTCCTAATCCATCCTTCTCAAGTAGTGCCGTTTCCTATTGATTAAGCATTCAAATATATGAGTCTGTGGGATCATTCCTCTTCAAACCACCACGTCCCAAGACACACACACATGTATGCACACACACACACACACACACACACACACACACACCACTTTTTTTTTCAGTTTTATTTTTTTGAGACAATATAGCACTAGATTGCCCAGGCTGGCCTAGAACTTAGTCTTCCTGCCCCAAACTTCCAAGTGTTATTGGCTTCCATACCCCACTATGATTTATTCTTTTTAACTCTACAATATAGCTTCAAATTCCTCTACCCTGTTAGCTATAGCATTTCTTTCTCGTGTTTCTTCCTGCTCATACTAATGCTGTCCTAAAGTCATAAAACCTCAAAATCAGAAGTGACCCCAGAGTCAAACATAAAATGATGTGTGAGTCTCAGGAGAGTTTCCCAGAAAGTGAAGACCAGTTTCTGCTTACACACTTGCCACGGTGACAAAGTCCATCTCTGGAAAAGCAGTCCACTCCACTACTAGATTATCTGGCCGCACAAACAGCTCTTCCTTATACTGAGTCAGACTCCAGACCCCTCTAACTTCCAGCCACTGGCTCTTACTTTTGCCTTTAGGAGACCCAGGGACCATATCAGATCCACCCTCCATATAGCCATCTTTTTCATACTTGATATCAGTCATCATGAAGTCACTTTTTCTCCATGGAAAGGGGGCTTAGAGAGTTTCCATTTCCCCATTCTTTCCCTGTGCTGCATCCGGTTGTCAGGTACACCTAGGAAGGAACTCTGGCATCCTGTCATGGTTTTACATGAGCGGTGTAGAATTCGAATGCACCCCACTTCTCCTTGCAGAAGTCCACATCATCATCTTGTGCTCTCTTAGGAGCGCTGATTTTATGTTTGTGGAATCCGCATCTTTTTAAATTAAGAGCTCTGTGTACTCAAACACACACCTTTGACTGAAGCAATGTTCGTATTCTGCCAGCTTTCTCTAAGTCAGAGGTGGAGATACCATCAGAGGCCCCCTTCATTTCCTGGAACAGTCCACCTGGAGCAGAGGTGCTGTCCTACCCTTGTTTCACACCTGTTCTGGCTGGTTTTCATGTCAACGTGACGCAAGCGAGGGGCGTTTGGGAAGAAGGACTCCTAATCACGGAAATGCCTCCGTAGGATTGGCCTATAGGAAAGTCTGTAGGGCATGTTCTTGATTGGTGATTGATGTGGAAGAGCGAAGCACATTATGAGTGATGTCACCCCTGGGCAGGTGATCCTGGGTGCTGCAGGAAGGAAGGTTGAGCAAGCCAGTAAGCAGCATTACACCACGGCCTCTGCTTCAGTTCCTGCCTCCAGGTTCCTGCTTTGAGTTCCAGCCCTGGCTTCTCCCAGTAATGGAGTGTGACCTGCGATTTATAAAATGAAATAAACTCTTTGCTTCCCAAGTAGCTTTAGGTCATGGTGTTTATCACAGCAATGGAAAAGTTAACCAAGACAACACCTTCCACACTGTCTTCAGCTGCCATATTTGTTCTAGCCGCAGTCTGCAAATTCTCTTCTTCACATTGCCAACTAGAAACAAAACAAAACAAATTTGGTAAATATATATCAGTATTCATCCATGGAATGGCGTGAGCACACGTGTGTGTGTGTGTGTGTGTGTGTGTGTGTGTGTGTGTGCAGTTTCACTATGTATCTCTAGATTAACTCACTATGTAAGCCAGATTAGCCTCAAACTCCTAGAAATCCACCTGCTTCTTCCCACTATGTACTGGAGTCAAGAGATGTATCTCTGTTTTCATAATTAGTTTTGCACAATTTGGACATTGTGTGTAACTCAAAGTGAGCTTTGGTCCGTCCTATTGTGGAATAATCTTTTGGTACACTGTGAAGAAGTGTCACTCTGATTGGTTTAATAGAAAAATGAATGGCCAAGGCTAGGCAGGATTTCCAGGCACAAAGGAGGCTGGGAAAGGGGACAGAGATGGGAAGAGACACAAAGGAAGCAGGAAAGCAGAATGGACAGTTCGTAGATGAGATAAACCAGCCTCAGGGCAACACATGGATTAATAGAAATTGGTTAATTTAAGTTATAAGAGCTAGCTAAAAACAAGCCTAGCTAACAACAGTCAAGCTTCAATAATTAATAGTATGTCTCCCTGTCATGATTTGGGAACTGACTGGTGAAACAGAAAAAGACTCCCTACAAATTGCACCCAAAATGGAGCACATATTCCCACATAAGACCTGAGAGAACTTTTTAAAAGGGTGGGGGTCCAAACACACAAAAATGGAGCCAAACGTGACTTCCTAGTCCTGCACGTCTCCTGGTCACTGCATGTGGGCAGCACACCATCAGCTAAACTGTGCAGTGGTTTAATATCTTTCTCATGTAGCTAAAAAAAGGTTCAGATAATCAGTAAAGTGGGTTCAGATGGGGGGGACTCTTAACAGGTTACGGTGTGTTTCAAAATGTGTGTAGACTTAAGAAAAAATAAAAATGGGTATAGATAGTCTGAGAGAAAAGTAAATTGCTTATAAATAATTTTAAAAAGCCATAGAAATGGAAAATACGCATGGAGTCTGGATCCTGTATGGTGTTGTATGGTCTTTAAATTTTTTTATTACTAATGAGCA